AAATTTGACTTAATCCTCATTTCGATATGATGGGTTAAATATATATGTATAAAAAAAAAGACTTTTCTGACAGATAGTAATCCAACTATGATCTGATTTTATGAACTAAAACAGTAAGTTTTGCTTAAATTTTCTGCTCAACAATTGTTTAAATTTATATATTGAAAGTAGGAATAATCAAAAGAACTTTGCAGATTTATAATTTGTAATAATTTATTATGTTCTATCCTCGAACGTAACCCTATGAATGCCTCTAAATATTGATACTACAAAACACTTAATTAATAAAACTGTTCTTATTTGTAAAAAGTGGAGAAACATAAAGCAGCTGCTCTCACTCACCGTGTTTGGCTTTGTCTGTGGAGGGCCGAGTTTTGAAAAGTGAACAAACCGCTGGAGCTGGAGATGCAAGAGGAGTCAGAGACACTCTCCTGTAAACAAACAGAAAAAGCACAAATAAACTACAAATCAACACCAACATTTCAAATAAACATAGCCCCATGTATCCAGCTTATCATTTTATTGTTGCCAGACAGTGTAAAGATGCTACAGAAAAGCACCAGCAGTCATTGTCTTTGAGCAGTCTGCCTCGGTGATCCTTATTTTACAGTCAGTGGGGGGTCCAACGAATCCCCTCAGACCAGACGGGGCTTTGTTCACTGCGCCGGGACGGAGCACACAGAAACTAACAAAAACATGACTACACCGGCAGCACGGTTAATAATTAAAAACAAACCAAAACTGGAAAACACATTTTAAAAGATTAGTTGTTTTTCTTTGCAAACAGCATTTTTTTTATTTTTTATTTTAGAAATTACCAGCTGAACTAATTTACCCAGAAGAGAAAACAGGACAGTAACTGCAGAATGTCCTGTCCAGTCTGTGTGACTGCAGGCTAAATCATTTGAATAGTTCAAGCATTTCCATAAATTATCATACGCAGTCATGTACAAGGAGCAGGTGCACCTCYCACACTGGCAGCTTCGCCAAAACAAAACCTATTAAGAGTTTTGTGCAGTAAAAATTCTGTGGTATAAGGGTTATTTTTAGATTTTAAAACCATTCGAAATGCCTTTGATGACCCTTATTTTTGTTTCACTAAGCAAGATTACTGTCATTAGCAGGATTTTACTCAAAATGCTTGTTTGATAGTTCATTTAAATTAGTCTCCAACACAAATCAGTGACTATCAAAGTTTATCAAAGCTCATTCGGCTTCCAGGTTGTGTCACCGTTTCCCTCAGGAGTCAGATTAGAAACATTAAATCTGAAAAACTGTTTTCAGAGGAATTTCATTGAAACTTTTCTCTAGTTTAGTTCTCCATCTTTCAAACTTAATTTTTCAGCTTTTACATGCATGTTTATTCAAAATGTGTTTTCTTTCTGTAAATTCTGCAAACATTTTGTAAGGGTATGTTTGAAGGAGCAGGTTTAATTTCTAACTTTCCATATTGTTCTTTCGGCTGCTCCCTTCTGCAGGAGTCACCACAGCGAGTGAACTCACAGGAAAGATTTGGCAATTGCTCTGTGCAGGATGTTCTTCCTGACGCAACCTGGGCTCAAACCTGCAGCCTCAGGATTACAAGATCACTGAGCCACTGCAGCCTCCTTCATATCTACATACCCACATGAGTTTCAACAATCAAAAAGATTTAATGAACCGAGTGTTGATTTGAGTTAAAACTTAAGAGTCTGTGTGCTTCAAAACTTTTTATAAAATTCTCTGCAGTCTTTATCTAAGTTAAGATTTTCTGCGTTCTCTGAAGAAGAAATCGTTCAGATAGTAACATATTTTTTAAAGTGCCTGTGACATCAAATTTTTGTAATATCTCTGAATGCATTTTTAGAAAGAGGACATTGATAAAATGTTGCAAAATAAATTTCATGTCACTGAGATGAACAGTTGTTGAGATATTTGCCTGTGAATAACAGGAAGTGATGTCAAAGGGGAATGTCTGCATGTGAACAGAGCGTTGCTACAACAGCCAACAACACAGACTGTAGAGAATAATCTGATGTTTAAGATTAATTTGAGTCTCTATCAGAGAGATGAAGAAGAGTCAGAGTTCAAATAATATTGTTTCAATAAACAAAGACCAGAGTTTTCGTTAAAGAGTTCCCCTTTGATGTCACTTCCTGTTTCAYTTTGGCTGAGCCAAGTTCAAAAGAAAATATGCCAGTTATGTCTTAAATATAAAGATGTTTTCTTTGACTTCTTGTATTTGAAGAATATGCACGTCATAGGCACTTTTAAATGTTTCAAGCAAACTTGAAAATTTTGTCTGTTGTGTTGTGATGACATAAAACAAAGTGGAGTGAGGAGAATGTTGGTTTCTCACAACTGATCTTGTCAAAAAAATAATAGAGTGATTCTATATTTTCCCGATTTTGAAAAGCTCTACAGAGAAAAGTTTTTTCAAAGAAATACCGACGGCTGTTTCATTTGAAAAAAAAAAATATCAGTGGTGACGAGAATCATTGTTGGTAAAAAGAAAAAATAAGAAATGAAACTAAATAGATTGATTTTTCCTCGTAAAAGATCATTTGGCAATAGAAAATTTAACTCCTAAGCACTCTTAACTTTGTCATCACATTCCTACATTTCATAGTTAGGAGTGTCACTTTTACTAGTCAGGCATTTTTACTCTCTGTAGCTAGGCCTGTCACGATAACAAATTTTGCTGGGCGATTAATTGTCTCAAAAATTATTGCGATAAGCGATAATATTGCCT